GGACGCAAGATTGGCCTGGGCCACACATCGTCATGTGCAAACTGAACTGAACTGAACTGACCTTGAACCTCAAGGCCTCCGCTCTTTTGAACATTTTGTAATTTTCTGTACTCCCCCGACGCTGATGGTTTCCGTGGGTCAGCAGTCTCCTGGAAAATGCTTTGAAGTTTATGATAAACGAGTTGATGAAAATGAAGAAAGCTTCTCAAATAAGTATTCATTTGGGTCTGAAATCGGAAGGCATGTTTTCTTTGTTCCGCTGAAAATCTTTTGCAGAGGTCGTTTTGCAAAAGTCAACCGAGTAGTCAACAGAAAATCGGGTGAAGTTTTAGCGGCCAAAATAATTAGAAGATATAGAAATGGCAAGGATACTCTCCAAAATATCATGCGGGAACTTCAGATCGTTCAAATATGCTCCTCGTGCGATCGGATTGTAGAAGTGCATGATTATCACATTGGCCAGTTAGATGTAACGCTTATTTTCGAAAAGTAAGTGGAGTAGCTCAGCGCTTCAAAAGATTCTCTTTCATTTCAGTGCTGCTGGTGGTGATCTCTATCATATCATTAATGATAGCGAATTCAACCTTCCCTTCACCGTTGTACAGTCTGCGGTCCTCCAACTACTTCGCGCGGTTTCCTTCCTCCACATGCGCTCGGTTGTGCATCTGGATATCAAAGTGAGTACCACTCAACTACTTTAACTCGTCTCGATCTCAATTAAGTCCCAACCAACGCCATTCGTATTATGAACATCGTGTTGCTGATTTCTTCTGTCACTCTTACTGCAATTAGGTCTATCTATCGGTCAAAATTTGACTTCACTGATGATGATATAAGCGATTGCCAAGTTGGTGAAGTAGTTATCTGCGATTGATTAGATGTTTCATTCGAATTTCGGACGGATATATCCATAAGACGTGATCAGATAGCAAGGTACACCACATAAAGTTTCAAAGTTTTATTATGGGAATAAGTTACAGGCTCATACTTTTCTCGCCTCATAGGTTCGTGTTGTGATTTAAAAGAGTGGTACATACAATTACTTGTGTAAAGTGTCACATGATACGGGCTCATTCCAGTGGTGCACACAGCTTCACTTATGTATGAATGTTTCAAGGAGTCTCGGTTTGAAAGACTCAATGCTTGGTGCCCAAACAACGTAGGGCGGGAGAGAGTTCCAGACCGAACACACTTTAAATGCGAATGACAGGCCGGCATTCCAATCCGCGTTTTGAGACCACCAATTTGAACGAATATTCTCTAAGATGCTAGCCAAAAACATTGAAAAACCCACGTAGAAAGCACGAATAACGCGACTGCTATGGGTGGAAAACGGTAGGCAGATAGCCTTGACTGTAAAAAAATTCGGGTCTTTTTTTGCTAGATGTCACGAAAACAGCACGTGAAACGCCCCGCAATCCTCGGTCGCCTAGGTCATTTGCAGGATATTTCACTCGGGTTATTTCGTACTTTGAATTTCCTCTGTCATATCAAAATGCTTTCACTTTGGTATTATAGAATCATCGCGCTGCGTAATATAACCTTCAGATTAATCGGTAATGACTTGTACGCATCAACCGGAGCTGTGATAGCAAGAACCCAAAAGTTTGTGGATATTTATAGAACGTACGGTACCGCAATTAAGAGTTCAAAGAGGGAAAGATTTATGGAGTGAATGATAGGCAAATGCAGCAAATTACCAATAACGTTCCCTCGGATGGTACACTAGCAGAAAAACAAAATGCGACTAGGTGTGCGTTTTTCGTGCGAAAGAAATCCCGAGTGTGTTAGCAGGGTGGACGTTGAGTGATAACTTTAGCAACGGGTGACACAGATGGCTTGGGTTTTGCATTATTTGGTATACCATAATGTCTCATCTGATGCGCCGGTGGTGGTTGGAATATAACCCCAAGGACTCCGGTCTCCCTGGGTATGAGTAGCGATTCAACTCCTTAACCATTTTTGTGGTCATCCTTCGGGGACGTTCCAGCACTTTGCGATCACGTTGTAGCCATGAATTCCATACCTGGATAGCGTACTCTATGAGTGGGTGAATGTATGCTGGTAGCAGACGAGGGAAAAGCGCTGACTCAAACAGGCCAAAGACGCCTGAGAAAACCGACATTCTTTACAGCTGCTTTGGATACCCTGGAGAAGTTGAGTGAGCGGCTTCAGTTTTCTTGAATGATGATGCCCAGGTTCTCACTTGAGGCGTATGGCAGTTGTCCATTTCCGAGGAAATACGATAATCGCCCCTTGTGCCGTAGAGATGGAACCTTATACGTTGGCACATTGAATTCAATATCGTTCAGAAGGGACCATAGATGAACTGCTTTCAGCGTTTCCTGGGGTGCCAGCGGGCCCGCTAGTTGCGTTTCTGTATTCTAAATTTTGGCGTCATCTACACACTAGTGATTTTGGCCCCGGAACCTTCGGTAGGTCGTTTATGAATGTTGGGAAAAGTCGCCGGCCGATCACAGATCCATGTGGAACCCCGCGGGTAATGTCCATAGGACGGGAAAGCAAATCGGAAACGCGAACCAATACGATCTTGTCGGAAAAATGCTTCGATTCAATCACGCATGAGGCCCCGAATATCGTAATTAATTAATTTTGGTGGCAGATAGCTTTGCTGTCACCCGGTTCTATACCACGTTTGGCTTATCGGGGTCTTAGGTGTAAGTCCGGGGGCTTAGGTTACCGGACCATCACTGGACAGCAGGTCTTCGTGACTATGGGGCTTTTCTCGTCTGCTGTTCATCACACACTGGTGTGTAATAGAGAATAGAGTTTCTGCATTGGAATCTATTGGTTCACCCGACCGAACGCTTTTGAGAATTCCAGTCCACATCGCCGTCATCAACTGCTTTTGTCCATTCTTCTCGTGCGATGAGCAAATTGGTAGCGCAGGATCGCTTCTGTCGGAATCCATATCGATTCGGNCGGTGACAGAACGCACTTCTGTAGGTGTCCCATCAGGGAATCTGCTACTATGGACTCTATGACTTTCGGGCAACACTGGAGGGAGGATTAAAGAGCGGCAGTTAGCGGGATCGCTACGGCAACCGCCTTTGTAAATGAGTGAAGGTGCTCCGTGATTCCATGACGGTGGGATTGCAGTGTGATCCAACTTCCTTTGGAATATGAATTTTATTGTCTCGGATATTTGATTCACCAAGCACATAAGGGTTTAGAGGTGAATATTGTCTGCACCTGGCGATGAATTCTTCCTTCAAGCCAATAGCTTTGCTTTAACCTCTTTGGTAATGAATGACACGGTGGTGAGTGAAGGACGCGGAATGTGATGCTTCCAGCGAGGGAGGCACAGTCCCGCATTAATTGGCCCAACTAAAACTTGAACATACTTGTTCCTCAGCGTTTCAGCGGCTTCCATTGTATTGGGTGTAGTTATTGCAAAAGAACTAAGCACCTGTTTTCCATGTTTAACTTTTGAGCTGAGTTAACATTTCTCTACAAAAGCTTGGGGTTTGAAATAAATCTGTGCTAGAGATTTTTGATGGTTTAGCTTATCTTCGTGTACCAACTTGGTGCAGTGGTTTCGTAGCTGTCGGTAATTGTTCCAGGTGCATGCATTCGGAAGTCGTTTGTAATTTCTCNTCCTTTAGCAAATAAGAATAGTTATGAATAGCATGACATGCCGATGCAAGTCGAATCATTGTAAATTTACCCGTCGTCCATTTTTCCCCTTCATAAACGCGGTAAACGTTCACAACACGAAGACGAAACTCAGTTCATCCTACACGGGAAACACAAGCGGCTGTTCCGATACTCTTATTTTACATTTCATCCTCTTGACGGTTTCCAACGCCAGGAAACTACAATAATTACCGGAGCCATTTTCTTTCGTTTAATCGTTCTACATTCAACGAGCGTTTTAATATCTGGGCTTGCGAACGTCGCAATTCACATCCGCGCTGCATCCTTTTCCAAAAGCGTGAAGGTTGCCAAGGTGCCACTCAGTTTTAGGTGGGGCCTTAAATAGTTCACCGCTCCATGTTCTGGGGCCTAGTTTGCTGGTTGTTATCATTGAATGGCAGGTCTACGCGACTGTGACTTCCAGCTCGTCTGTTGTTCATCACACAAAAGTGCATGTGATGAAAGCGACAGAATAAGCAAACTGTTCATCTATTGAATGTTCCCAACACTTTCACTATTCTACAAGGTATCGTAATGGAAGAAATGTTTACCTAGTAGGGAGTACCAAATCCAATACCCGGGAATCAGTTAGGTGTTTCCATCTCGCTGCTTCCGTGATATCTCAGTCATCCTTATAATCTTCATTCACTCTCACTCTTTCGTTCTTCAGTCTTGCACATTTAGGTGGGTCAAGATTTTTAGTTGAAGCCTCCGATTAGGATTCCCAAAGAAACACCCCTTCGTCGATGTGAGCTACCGCGAACTATGCCATGTCCTAAGGTCTTAGGCATTTAGGGTATGTGCAAACGTGACCGAAAATACCAGTTATAACTTGACTGAACAAAAGGCGCTTGAAGAACGTCTTATGAAGCTTTTGCAGTGGCCCAGATTGTGACCGTGGGGCACAAACGAGTCCCTAAGACTCATTCAAATACTGAACACCATATATGTATAGCTTACAGTTATTTTATGGCCGTGATGTGGGCTAAGTAATGTCGGTTTGAACTGTTCATTCTTCAGA